AGTAATTCTGACTGCTTATATTTAAAGAACTTTAACATTTTAAAATTTAAATATTTTAATTCTCAGTTATCATTCTTGTTTATGCTTCAGCTCTCCATTTATTCCCTGGCATCTTGCTTCAGCTACGTATTTCCAACTCCTTGCCTCCATCAAAGTTTTTCTTCCATCTATCTCAGTAAATGCTGGTAAATGTTTAACAATCAGTTCTCAAAAATAGTTATTATACATTTTTTATGAATTTCACTGGCATAAAGAATATGTGACACATACTTTACAAATAACAAACAAATTTCGCTGTTGTTTGTTCCAATAGCTCATTGATTATTACAGGATAAATGCTTCTTTTTTAATGTTACCAAGATTTTGTATTTGTGGACAGTCAATTATTGCATTTGAGAATAAGTATAGATATGGTTGGTGGTTGGCATACCTTGGTTGGTATTTTCATTAATTTAATTCTTACTTTTAAGTGTCTACTATCAGTCAATTATTTCTGTACAAATTAATTTTTATTATAATTTAGATAAAAATTGTTATGGTAATGCTGAAGTTTATGTTATCGGTGTACCTCACTACCACAAAGTGCTCAAACTCCTCTGACATAGTCCCTTTGTCACTTATTAGTATGGTAAAAAGGAAACAAAGAAGCCATGTTTTATAACTTCACTCATTCAACAATGACATGAACAAATTTTGCTGAATCATATTTTTAAAATATTGAATAAGGATAGAATGTTTCCAAATATTTTGTTAATGACTGTGTATCAATCACAGTGTATTGGCTACAAAGATGATGGTTTTTACTATTTTATTAATATATCCTACATCATTGCCATAAATATACTCCAAAAGATCAGCAAGCTGTGTCTTATCTTGCATTTGAATTTTGTAGTGTGACAATTCCCAACATGCCTGGTTTCCAAATACTGAGAGGATGTCACTGAATGTATAATTGGATACAGATTCATAGCATAATAACCACGTACATATCCTACACTTGTATATATCCACTATTTTAGTAAAATTAGAAGCATACTCCAGAACATCTATAGTAGTAAATTTTGGCCAAATAATTGGTATTTAGTATTTACCACCTTTAAAAAATGAATTATCTATATCAATTGGATTTGAGTAAAGCACATCTACTTAATTTAAGTTAAACTTGTCACCGTTGATTATATGAATGGCCTGCATTCAGTCAAAGGTCTGATAAAACCAAGACTAACCTGTCCCAAATGTGAAGGAAATCTGCCTATAGACTGCCGTTAGATGAAAACTACTACTCCTTGGAGTCTTTAACCTACCAGCCTACCCTTTCAGATTTTAGACTGGCCAAGTAAACACAATCAACTTAACCAGTTCTCTTTGCCTTTTTTTCCTTTATCTGGCTTTGGATCACACCTGATGGTCCTCAGAAGTTACTACTGGCTCTACACTCAAGAATTACTCTTGGCAGTGCTCAGAGACCTTATGGGATGCTGGGTATAGTACCCAACTTGGGCACGTGCAAGGCAAACACTGTACCCACCGTACTATCTCTCAAGCCTTAATCAATTCTAACCTCTCTCATATATACACTCATATAAACACAAATAGACATACATGCTTTGTTTCTCTAGAGAATCCTGACTAAAACAATTGTAAGACAAATATTGTTTATTGAATTTGAAAGCTAGATCCATGGTTGTTCATTGTATGTATGTACTTTTTGAAATGATGCATATGTTTTAAAATATTTACTCTACAGATGGGTTGGAGCGATAGCACAGCGGTAGGGCGTTTGCCTTGCATGCAGCCAACATGGCCGACCCGAGTTCGATTCCTCCGCCCCTCTCGGAGAGCCCGGCAAGCTACCGAGAGTATCCCGCCCGCACGGCAGAGCCTGGCAAGCTCCCTGTGACGTATTCGATATGCCAAACACAGTAACAACAAAGTCTCCAGTGGAGACGTTACTGGGCCCACTCGAGCAAATCGATGATCAACGGGAGGGTCTTTACTTACTTTACTTTACTTACTTACTCTACAGATGGTTGAGAAAGAACTTTAGAAACTTTTTGTTTGTTTTAGTTTTGTATTTTTTTTATTAATTGTTTTAGTTTTGAAGTCACACCCACCAGCACTGGGAATCAAAGCTAGGACTCCTACATACAAATTATGCACTCTGACCCTTTGAGATATCTCTAAGCACTAGAAAATTTCATTTTAATCGTAGCATTAAACATTAAGCTTCACTTGATCTAGATCTAAAACAATAAGCAGCAAAAAACATATTGTATCACTTATATAGAAATAGATCCTCATAAAACTGAAAATAAAATAATATGATTTTAAGTTTATATAGCTTATTGTTTTACAATGACTACTTTAATAACAGGTCAGTGAAAGTAACCGTAAATTACCAAGAGCCAGTCTGAGCTACTTCTAGAATACCTCTGAATTCTATGATTTAATATTCTGTTTGAGAATGTTCTGAATTTTATTTTCCCACCCTGAATCTAAATACATTCTTTGTATAACCTCAAAAAATTCCCGATTTCACCTACCATACATATATGATGATGATTTCTACATATTATTTTCTAGCCCAAATTTCCTTCACTGAGTTTTAGATTCACATCTCCAAGTAAGTAAAGGATGTCTTTCTAGGGAAGTTTCACAGGTTTCTGAAACTTATAACCTTCCAGTTAGCTCCTATTCCTGTAGTTTTTGTTTCATTGCTGACATGCACCCAGCTGTTCTGGGCTTCTTTCTTTCTTATATGTCACATCTAGTTAGTCACCAAATCCTTCTCATTTTACCTGTCACATTTGTCCTGACACTGTTATTGTTCTGGTTCTTCCAGAGTTGCCTTATCTCTTCCTCTTCTTAGGGAGAATGAGCCAGAAAACTTAATGTTCTAATTCTGTGTCTTTATTCCTTTTCTCTTTCAACTTATTTGCCACACGATGTTGGGTATATGAACGACAAACTGTCTCTATCAGTCTCTCTTTATGGTCCGCTACTTATTCTTCAATTTGTGTAGACTGCTAAGTAAAGTTCTTAAGATAGGAGAAAATGTTTTCCATTATCTAACCAATTTCTTTTTCTTTATTTCTCACCCCCGATTCTTTATAAATATTGTTTCCATCACAATTATGACCTGCTGATAAGTAATTCCTTTACACAAAATAGTTTTCTGCCTCTTTTCCTTGAATTCCATCCAAACCCTTTTTGGCTAAAATTTTAATTTAAACCAAGTCTCTCCTAATATTCTTCTGACTCCTTCTCAAACTAGGTTATGTAACTTTTTAACACAGCTGAGTACATAGAAAATAATATACTTAATAGAGAAATAAATGAATACATTATAAATGTTTTAATATAATATTCTTCAAGTTTACATATTTGCATGTTTTAAACCAAGGATTCCAGTGAAGGACTTGCCTTACAGTTTTTAAAATAATTTTATCTGCATATTCTAATCAATATTTGTTTCTTTTTATTTTCAGGAGCTTTAACTAATTATAATGTTATTTTATCTATTTTTCCAAAAGACTTTATAATGTATTGGAAGCATTATGAAATTATAGTGTAATCTCACATCAAAGAAAATTCATAAATAAAGTCCTGAGTTGTGTTTTTTCCTTCAGATTTTAGTTCATTTACTCATACATCAAATAATAATTGGATGTTCATCATTTAACAGCATGATATTAAGAGAGAAATAATGAACCCATGGTAAAGCATATTCCTCACATGTATGAGACTCTGGGTTCAACCAAAACTGAAGATTACGGTAAAGAAAAATTAGTAGCTGGGCCAAAAGATAAGATGAGTAGTTAAATCCCTGCTCTCATCAAGAGTAATCCCTGTGCCAAGTGTCAAGATAAAATCCTGCTCACTACCCAAATACCAAGAGAACACAAGGAAAATGATTAGTCATTTTAACAGTGTTACAAAAACAAACAACCCTATCAAAAAATGAGTGAAAGATTTTAACAGAAACTTCCTCAGGAAAGACATAGAGTGATCGAGTGATAGTACAGCGGGCAGGGCATTTGCCTTCCACACAGCTGACAAAGGTTGAATCCTGGCACCCTATATGGGCCCCCTGAGCCTCTCTAGAGGTGATTAAAGATGTACAAAATAGACCGTATCACTTATCCTCAGGGAAGTGTAAATCAAAGCACCAGTAAGCTACCACCTCACACCAGTGATACTGACACACATCACAGGAACAAAAATAACCAATGTTGGCCTAAATGGAAAAAGGGACCCTCATTCACTGCTGGTGGGAATGTTGACTGGCCTTTTTGAAAAACAATATGAACACACAATGATGTCTCTCATATGCAGGATGTAAAGAAATATGGTGAAATTTTTTAAAAAATGCCTAAACTCACCAGATATTGACAACTGGTTTTCGGGAGGAAGATTATCACTGTGGTGGGGCTTGGCAGGTGGAAGTGTAATACTAGAACAAAGGTAGAGGAACAGCCTGGTGGAGTGTTGCTGGAATGTTTTATGTATAAAACTCTACCATTAATAGGTTTGTAAGCCAGAGTATCTGAAATAAAGTTTCTTAAAATAGAATACAGTATGTTAAAAATAACCTATAACTACTAAGAAAATACCACGGACACTTAGGAAAACCCAGAAGATAGTATTCAAATCGAATCTATTTGAAGATGTATGTGGAAGTTTAGGAAATTACTTGGTTGAAGGAATGGCATAGAAATTTTTTGCTTGAAGGGACATGATTCAACAATGCCTCTAAGAACATTTTAAAATAAATATATTGGGGCTGGAGCTATAGCACAGTGGGTAGGGCTTTTGCCTTGCACTGACCCAGGCTCAATTCCCAGCATCTCATATGGTCCCTTGAGCACAGCCAGGATTAATTCCTGAGTGCATGAGCCAGGAGTAACCCCTGTGCCTCACTAGGTTTGACCCAAAAGGCAATAAATAAATACATTAATACTTATTTTGAATATCAACTTTATGTACGTCTTTCTTGGCAGGTTGTGTAAGGAGGTTCCCATGCTGCCAAGTTAACATAGAATCAGGGAAAGGAAGAATCTGGTGGAACATCAGAAAAACCTGCTACAGAATAGTTGAACACAGTTGGTTTGAAAGTTTCATTGTTCTCATGATCCTGCTCAGCAGTGGTGCTCTGGTAAGTGATCTAACGCTAAGGAAATATATTGATTAGGTAAGTATTTTACGGCTGAGTAGTAAATAAAAATATTACAACAAATCATTTTGACAAAAGTTCAGTCTCTATGGTTGAAATCAAAATATAGTAAATATTTAATGTAAACTACTACCTCTCAGTCATTCTTCTTGCTGCTCTGAAAAGATGGAATTTAGAGAGAACTAGGGGAGAGGCATGTATTGATTATAGAATGGGTGTGCATTTGTAAATAAGAAATATGTTAGGGCTCCAGCGCAAAAACAATTGTCTACCTGGGATTTTAGAAAGGAAGAAAGGTAGATGATATTGTTACAAGATCTAGAAATATTAATGGGAATTAAATAGGCAAAGTGGGTTGAGAGAAACAAGTTACAATGAAAAAACATATAAAACTCTAGAAATCAAAAGGTATTCAAAATTTTGAAAGTTTACAAATCTGAATAGTTAGTACCAAGTAAAAATGAAAAGAAACAACAGTATCTGAGAAACTAACTGATATTACTTAACGTAGAATAGGGGAAGAAGAATAAGGAAAAGTCTTATGGACGGTAGTGGAAAATTATTGACACTTTGGTGTTATGCATGGAGTAAAGGAGTAGTAATATTGTACCCCAAAATATAAAATGTTTATATTCTTCTTGTAAACTAATTTAATTCAGCAAATTAATAATTGTTCAACTTTGTTTTTTAAATTTTGAACTTTAGAGTGTAACGTGGAGAGAAAAGCAAATACAGGTAGTGTGGTAGTGGTCAGAATACTGTGAAAAAGATAGGCAGTATTATGAGAATGTTGCATATTTTAATAAGGGAAAATAGACATTAGTTTTAGGGTGAGAATGTGGTATCTTTTATATATACTATTAACCTTCTACAAAGATTGAAGGAATGAAGAGTTATATTTATCCTGAACCTCTTCTTATTTATTTTTTTTCTGTTGATACTAAAGGAGAGGAGCCATTAGAAGTCCATTTCTAACTAAGTGTCACTGGAAATTCCATTATAATAAAAATGATAAGATAAAGAACTTTGAAAATTGTATCACAGGCAACTTTGGATTCATCGATAATGGGTCTGGGACTTGTTTTTACTTCACTTAAAATAGAACAGGTTGGAGCATATACTTTACATGGTGGAGACCTGAATTGACTCCTGGCATCTTTTGTCCCCCTGAACTGTCAGGAGTAATCCCCTGAGCATTGAACAGGTAGCCCCTGGACACTACTAGGTATGGCCTTGAAGCCAAAGTAGCACTGTCCTCCGATTGTTCATTGATTTGCTCGAGTGGGCACCAGTAACGTCACACAACAAATTGTGAGACTTGTTGTTACTGTTTTTGACATCTCAGATCCTTCACAGATAGCTTGCCTGGCTTTGCCATGCAGGTGAGATACTCTCAGTAGCTTGCTGGGCTTGGCTCTCCAAGAGGAGCAGAGGAATCAAAGCCAGGTCAGTGGCAAGGAAAGCAAGTGTCCTACCTGCTGTGCTATCACTCCAGCCCTGAAGCCAAAGTAAATTAATAAAATAAGTTAGCCTGACACTGTTTCATGGAAGCTATGAGACCTCTGAGCACAAGACAAAGTTCAAGACATTGCTAATCATAATGAGAAAGGCAGTGTGTACTTTCACATATTTTTGTTGATTTCCCCTTATTTCCAAGACACATACAGGCAGAGTATGAACCTAAAAAAGAATTCACATACAGAATATTAGAATTACATTGAGTTAGGGCATTCACTTAAAACAAGCAGTAGCAACCTTGCTATTAGTCTCAGAGAAAAAAAAATAGCTATACCCCTTACTTCTACTTACAAAAGCTGCACCAGAAAAATGGCCCAAAACATTGGCCTTACATTCTTGTTACTTCCAACAAGAACACATAGGGACACTCAGGACCCATTGTGGTTTGCCTATCCTGACAAGTCTCTTCTCTAAAAAGTAGAAGATACAGTAAGAAAAATGCTACTTTTCCTATCCTGGAGAATCTTGGCACAATTTTTTCAACATATACAATAAGTTTATTCCATGCTAAATCACATATATGACTGTGATTTAGCATGGAATAAAGAAAGATAAAGAAAAGATAAAGGAAAGATAAAGAAAAGCAAAATAATTAAAGTTGTGTGTAATTTCTGTCCAAAATGTCTAAAAAGAAAAATAATATTTGGAAGTAGGAGGACTTTTAATACTGAAATTGAAATATGAAGAAAGAAATGTCCTTCAAAAACCTGACATTTTTACCTGGGGAGTTTGTCAAAGCAGCTGCTGCTGCCTACCTTTAAATAAAAAGCATTATCTCTGATTCAGTACATTCAGTGTTTCAAAATCTTCAGATAGACTTTCTCTTTAACTTTTAAACAATACAGTGAGATTATGATAGTTTGCGTATTATACCAATGAGATGGTAATTGCAGAGTTTAAAAGTTGCTTGAGGGGGTATGGTGCCGCTAGCAGGTCAATTTGTACCTCTGAGGTGAGTGCATCAGCAGCCTGATGGCAACGCCAGACTTTAAGATACCCCAAAATTGCTGCTGTACCTTTGGTCAGACCCCAAAAACTTGGGGCAAAGTTTACCAAGAAAGTAAACAGGCAAAAGTTAGGTATGTGGGAGACACACCTATAAACCACCCCCGGCTCAGCTATATAATTGGAGGCATGGCCTCTCTGGTTCCTGATCGAACTGCTTAATGGCCATGACCCCAGTGTCTCAGAAACGAATCTTAGAACCCGAAGGCTTTTGGGAGAAATGCATCCTGTTCCTGCAGTAGCTTACTGGTGCTGGGCCACTCCAGGTGGGAATAGGTTTCGTGCCTTGGCCTGTTCCCCCTGGCGGCCTGGTGACCGCCATCCTCCAGAGGCCACTGGACAGTCAGGTTTGGGCCTGCAGTGACAAGACACATGGGACCTCACCACATGGGGGTGGAGCCGATTCTTTTCCCCATCCCAACGAGACCCCGAGTCGCCGCCTGCAAATGGCCTCTCTGGCTCCTGATCGAGCTGATTAATAGCCATGATACTGGAGACTCAGAAACAAATCTTGAAACCCAGTGGCTTTTGGCAAAAATGCATCTGGACTGCATACAAGGTGGCCACTGGCTCAGAGTTTATTGGAAAGCCAGATATGAGCCAGTGGTGACGGGGCAACTGCAATCTCGTGGGAAGGGGGGCAGTACTGGCTCGTCCTTCACGCCCTACTGAGGTCACGAGTGCCCCCCCCCAAGCATCTCTCTGGCACGGCCATGGCTCCAGAGGCAAAAGGACTTAATCCAGAGGCCAGAAGCTCACAGCATAAAAGTGAATGGACCATGTGTTAAACTACAGCACCATGCCTCCCCGGGAGGGAAAGGGTGTTGCTCCCTTCCGCCTTTTTCCCCCCTGGCAGCAAGGTGGCTGTCACCTCAGAACTTATTGGAAAGCCAGGTATGACCAGCGGTGACGGGGCAACAGCAGTCTCATGGGAAGGAGGTCAGTACCGGCTCATCCTTCACGCCCTACCGAGGTTACAAGTTGCCCCCCACAAGTGCTCTCTGGCATGGCCATGGCTCCAGAGGCAAAAGGACTTAATCCAGAGCCCGGAAGCTCGCGGCATAGAAGTGAATGGACCATGTGTTAAACTGCAGCGCCATGCCTACCCAGGAGGGAAAGGGTGTTGCTCCCTTCCACCTTTTTCTCCCTGGCAGCAAGGTGGCCACCGCCTCAGAGCTTATAGGAATGCCAGGTATGAGCCAGCGGTGACAAGGCAACTGCAGTCTCATGGAAAGGGGAGCGGTACCAGCACATCCTTCACGCCCTACAGAGGTCATGAGTTACCCCGCACGAGCGGCTCTCCGGCTCGGCCATAACACCAGACACACAGAAACCAATCTCGTAATTATCTGGCTCTTTGCAGAAATCCAAAATCATGGTCGTGTGACATATGAGTCTCATAACCAGCTATAGAAAACAAAATATTTCACAATGCCTTTTCAGCAATTCTGATAGTTTGGGGGGAAATTCTAAACAACAAAGGTGCATCTTTTCTCTTTACAATAGCCAGAAACTGGAAGAAACCTGAATGCCCAAGAACAGATGACTGGTTAAAGAAACTTTGGTACATCTACACAATGGAGTACTATGTAGCTGTTAGAAAAGATGAAGTCATGAAATTTACATACAAGTGGTACAACATGGGAAGTATCATGCTAAGCGAAATGAGTCAGAAAGAGAGGGATAGACATAGAAAGATTGCATTCATCTGGGGGATATAAAGTAACAAAATATGAGATTAATACCCAAGAATAGCTGAGATCAGCACCAGGAGGATTACTCCATAGCTTAGTGGCCAGTCGGGCATTCTAGAGGAAAGGGCAGCTCAGATAGGGAAGGGAACACCAAATAAAGGGTGTATGGAGGATCCTCCCAGGAGAGGAGATGCATGTCGAAAGTGGACTATGGACTGAACATGTTTGCCACTCAATGCCTCTTTTGCAGACCACAACACCCAAAAGGAGAGAGAGAACACAGGGGATTGCCCTGCCACAGAGGCAGGGGGGGATAGGGGGGATGGGGGTGGGGGGGATATTATCCATGGTGGTGGAAAATGGGCACTGGTGGAGGGATGGGTATCTGATCATTGTATAATCAAACCCAAGCACGAAAAATTGTAAATCTACAATTGTACCTCATGGTGTTTCACTAATAAAAAAAAATGGAAAAGAAAAAAAAAGGTGCATCTTTTGTCGAAATAATGAATGTAATCGATGTAGAGAAGAGTTAAGTAGAAATCATTTGCCTCACAGGTATTTGGAGGGGTGGGATGGGGGTATACTGGGGTTCTTGGTGATGAAAAATGAATACTGGTGAAGGGAAAAGTGTTTGATCATTGTATGACCGAGACTTAAACCTGAAAGCTTAGTAACATTTCCCACAGTGATTCAATAAATAAATATAAAAAAAATTAAGGTAGAATTCATGTCCAATTCAATCAGCTAATCAGTGGCTGAATAAATAGCAGTACTCCTACAAAAAATTTTTTTTTAAATTTAAAAATATATAAATGAAAGTTGCTTGAGGACACAAAAGACAATGTGGCCACAACTGAGGTCTTAAGATTAAAGCCTATTATTATGGTGATATTAGTCCTGAGAAAGGCAAGTATGTACAAGAGAAGCAATAAATGAGTAATAACTGAAATGAGTAACAGTATGGAGTAAAACTTTATCCCAAATATGGTAGATATTACATAATGATCTTTGTGACGCTTGCTCCCACATCCACAGAATTAGTTCCAGAATCCAGGAGTCCTGCAGGTTAAATTCTTTTTCAAGTTCTGTGACAGGTCAGAGTCAGATATACTCAGAGAGGTATTTGGTTCTTATCACCAAGTCGTGCTATGTCTTCTATTGATTCCTGTTTGACCCTTCTTTGTAGTCAAGTCCCCATTTTTGTCTTTGAGTAATGGGGATGAAGCATTGCATGGTCTCAGTATTCATTGCCTGGTTTCTCTGAAATTTGAAACCAGAAAACAGAAAAGTGCTGAGGACTAGAAGACTTCCCTTACATATCACTTTAGTTGTCCTACAGAAAGATTTTTTTAAGCACCTGAGTAGGTCTGTCCATTCTGTCTGCCATTTTTTCTTTTTTCTTCAGTATTAATAAGAGTTTAGAAAAAGCTATTCAGAGAATATTTATTTATTTATTTATTTAGCTTTTGGGGTCATACCCGGTGATGCTCACGGGTTACTACCAGGTCTGCACTCAGGAATTATTCCTTGCCATGCTGGGAGATCATCTAGAATGCCAGGGATTAAATCTGGGTCGACTGTATGTAACCAAATGTTCTACCCACTGTACTATCTCTGGCCTCAAGAGAATTTTTAAAGTATTGAAGAACTTCACTGTCACCGTCACTGTCCTCCCGTTGTTCATCGATTTGCTCAAGCGGGTCCAGTAATGTCTCCATTGTGACAATTGTTACTGTGTTTGGCATATTGAATACATCACAGGTTGCTTGCCAGGCTTTGCCGTGCTGGTGAAATTCTCTCGGTAGCCTGCCGGGCTCTCCGAGAGGGGTGGAGGAATCGAAGTCTGGTCGGCCATGTTGGCCGCTTGCAAGGCAAATGTCCTACCTGCTATGCTATCACTCCAGCCCATTGAAGGACTTAAAGTAATAATAAAATATACAAAGCTCATGACTAGTAGAAATATAAACCAATAAGAATATGGATTATCTTCTTTAATTTTTTTCTAATGTGATGACTATTGCTTGAACATGAAAGAGAAAATGTTAGTAATTAAGTTCTATTTAGGTCCAGATCACTTTTAATGTCTTCACTGGGCTCAGTTCCTTATATGTACCCAAATGATTTTCAAGGCACTTGGGCTATAGCTACAGTATCTTTATTATTTACAGACATTCTTAGAGAGTGTGAAAGATATCAGATTTGTGGAGTGACTATTATAGTGATTCGTTAATGTGAAGCCTAAATCAAAGAGAAAATATTAGTGTAAAATTCATTATCTATGTTCTATAGCACTAGACTGCACTCACCCACTCCGTAAACATTTTTGTGTCTTCTCCTGTATTCTGGTGAAAGTACTGAATAGTAGAAATGCACAAACATCTAAGAGCTAAAGGAGAGGATTCAATTATTGCTGATGCATACAAAGGAAGGAGCTCAACGAGAATGGTTTATAAAATAAGATGACCCTGGAATCATTATTAAATATAGGACTTTGCCATTGGAGAATTATAGGAGAGTCCTCTAAAGTGAAAAGCTTTGTAAGTCTTGGGGATCAGCTTCTTTCAGAGGCTTACAAATAATTTCACCTCTTGCAGTCTCTTTCATTTGGCTCCTGATAACCTATGGTATGCATAGCCAGAAGACTAGAACTAAATGCTATACACAGTTTAACTGTAATCCAGAAGAAAGTCAGATAATAATATTATATTACAGTGGATTCTTCAGTAGGAATTTTGTTTCTTGTTTTATCAAGAATCACAAGCATTAAATTATATATGGATTGAAATTTAAGTATTATTTTCACAGGCTTTTGAAGATATATATATTGAAAAGAAAAAAACCATTAAGACTGTCTTGGAGTATGCTGACAAGATATTCACTTACATATTTATTCTGGAAATGCTTCTGAAATGGATAGCATATGGTTACAAAACATACTTCACCAATGCCTGGTGTTGGCTGGATTTCCTGATTGTTGATGTAGGTACTTTCGAGTAATTTAGTTATATAGTTTTTGTAGTGCCAGGACTCTACTAACTTTTTTTTTTTTTTTTGCTTTTGGGTCACACCTAGCAATGCACAGGGGTTGCTCCTGGCTCTTCACTCAGGAATTACTCCTGGCAGTGTTCAGGGACCATATGGGATGCTGGGAATCGAACCCGGGTAGGCTGCATGCAAGGCAAACGCCCTACCCACTGTGCTATCGCTCCAGCCCCAACTCTACTAACTTTTTAATGTTTCAGTTTTAAATTAATTTCATTTGTTTTGTTTTGGGGCCATACCCAAAAATGCCTGGGGCTTACTCATGGCTCTGATCATACCTGATATGCTCAGGGTCTCAGGAACTGAACTTGGGTGCATAGCAAGCACCCTACTCACTGAGCTCTCTCTTATGGTCCACAAAAATTTATGGTCTTGATGTATACAGTTACATCACTTTATCATAATCAAAGTACCTAAGATCTCCTCACCCATACCTTTCTTTCATATCCCATTCACCTATTTCCCCCCAATCGCAAATTCTTAGTTTGTATTTCATCACCACAAGTTTGGTATGTTGATATTATCCATTCTCTTGTTTTGTTTTATATATATATACATATATATGTATACACATATGTATACATATATATTTATATTATCTTCATGATTCAGTCATATACCAGTGGTGACCTCTATAATTTTAGTTGGATAATTGTAAATAATACTGATGAACATTGTAATGTATATGCTCATTAATAAAAATTTTTACAATTTCAGTGAATACTTTTTTCATGTTCGTTGGATATATACACAAATAAGATAGCTAAATAGTATGGAAGATCTACTTTTAGCTTCGTGAAGAATACATATTATTTTTTCTAAAATAGCTATATCAACTTACAGTCCCAACAACTGTACTGAAAAGTTATTTTTGCTCCATATTGTGCCCAACATTTGTTATTATGTGTGTGGTATTTTATTTTGGTTTGCATTTTCCTAGTAATTATTGATGATGTGAGCTTTGCATATGCCTATTGTTCTTGTATATGTCCTCTTATGTTGAGATAGTGTTGAATGAAGTATGGCCTTTTAAAATATCACATTATTTTATTAAATTTAAAAGAATATTTTTTCTTACTGGGAAATTTTTTCTAAAGCCTCTAGTTATTGGATATATCATACTTAAACATGGTTTTGATTTTAAGGTCAGGGGCTTATGTTTTTAATTATCTAATGTACGTAATAGAAATATAGGTGTGGGTATTAAATTATCAAAAAATATAAATCTATACTATTCTAACATTTATAATTTATTCTTTGATGTATTTTCTGCAATCAAAGAAGTTGAGAATTTTTTAAATATATAAAATGATTTGAGTATCATTTTTATTGAAACAGAAACAAAGTGAAGGACCAGAGAGATATCATAGCAAGTAGGGCACTTACCTTGAATGCATCCAGCCCACGTTTGATCCTGAGCTCAGAGCCAAGAGTAAGCTCTGAGCACCACCACGTGTGACCCCAAAACAAAAAACTTCAGTAATAAACTCGAAGAACTGTTGAATACTTGGATGATTAAAAATATATAATAGCATTTGTTTACTTTGTTTTGTTTTGTTTTGTTTTGGGGGGGTCACACAGCGATGCACAGGAGTTACTCCTGGCTTTGTACTAAGCAACTACTCCTGATGGTATTCAGGGTACCATATAGGATGCCTGGTATCAAACCCAGGTCGGCCATGTGCAAGGCAAATGCCCTACCTGCTGTACTATTGCTTCAGCCTCTGTTTACATATTAATTTTAACAAGGAAAAATAAATATCTGGATCCCTTGTTGAAATAAGAAAGAGATCATAAAATAGTGTATGAAGTCAAGGCAATTCAAATAGAAATTAATGGAACAGCATGCCTTATCAATTCTTTCTTAGAGAACTCTACTTTTATACCTGATATATAATTTAATAATATATAAAATGCTATTACTATAATCTTTATTATTTAAAATGTTTGTGCTAACCGTAGCTTCACTTTCAGTATTATTGTCTAAGGAAGAATTATGTCGCCCAGCTTCAGAGCCACACTCTATTATGTCTTGTGTTTTAATTCAATAGAAATTTTCATATTTTCTTTAAATAAACGTTTAGAAAAATAGGAACTCCATAACAATTGTCTTAAAAACTATGGGGATGGGGGGCAGAATGTGCTTTTATTCAGATATTTAAATGCCTACTTCCGTTCTTTTTATTGTTATTTTTCTTTGGGGGCTACACTGGATGGTGCTTGGAACTTACTCCCAGTGGGGCTCAGGAGCCCTGAGGGATGCTGGGAATTGAACCCGTGTTCACCATATAAAAGACAAGCACCTTAAGCACATACTACTCTCTAACCCCTCCTTCTATTTTTTAATTGAACTTGCTTTGAAAGAATTTTTAAATGTCTTGATATATTATTTTTTTTTTTACTGAATTTACCAGTGGTCTTTGAATTGACTTTTCCTTTTTATGCTTTGCTGTATCATTAACACAACTAATGAAAATTTTCTATTTTTTAGGTTTCCTTGGTTACTTTAGTTGCAAGTACTCTTGGCTATTCAGATCTTGGCCCCATTAAATCCCTTCGGACACTGAGAGCTTTAAGGCCTCTAAGAGCTTTATCTAGATTTGAAGGAATGAGGGTAAGAACATACTGACCTTCCTAATATTCATACTGTTAATTAACTAGAAAACATGAAAAAAAGAATGTGTAAAAATTATGGCATTTATATATATGTATATATGAATACTTACATATATTTGAATGTTTATGTAATTGTGTACATGTACACACAGAAATTTAGTGCACATTGTTTAAGAATGATGAATCAATTATTGTCATACTCTCTTCATATCATATTTTATGTAATGATTCAAATAAGTGATTTTTTCTCTTTTTAAAAGAAAATATTTCTTATGCCAAGGATTTCCGGTTAAAGGGGCATTATTAATATAAACACTATTAGCATCAATACAAGTCATCAGGTACTTGCTTGTGTCAGGTGCTTAAACATACATATACATATATATTTATATAATTATTGAATGTATACTTTAATAAGTATTCTGCATAGAGCATTAGATGGGGGTTAAAGCAACACCAGATTGCTTCTGATATCACCCTTAAAATAAGTGTCACTGAAATTATCTCCAAACTATATTTGGGAAGACTAAATCTCTGAGAATTTTCTTAATTTATATTGTGGTTACATTGTGCCTAAAGAGATTTGTTTTGCAGGGACAAACAAGATGAGCTATGTTAAATCAGCCATTACTTCATAAAAATAGAGAGAGGACAATAAGCTTACTTTTCCTAATTACTTTATATCATTGTGTGTTGTTTTTCTTTGTTTCTTTCCCAGACTAATGCCTGCTTTCCCATGTATCTGCTGTTCTCTTGCATAGGAATATCCCTCCTTGTTCCATCTCAACTGTAACAATACAACAGACAAAACCAAGCCTGTCTGTCCAAAAGGCATACTTGGATAGCCCCCTAAGTACTTACTTACATAGCTGACAGCTTCTCTACTATAAACTCAGGACAATTGGACATGAAAATTAGTTTGTTCACTAGTGATCTTTAATATTGTGTACTGGCAGCAGCATCTAATAAACTTATTAGACACATGAATTTCCAGGCTCCTCCCAGACCTATTAAGTCATAAATTCTGGGACAGGATTTAGAAACCTGAAGTATCTGGTGAATCTTAGATAGAGTTTAGTCTAAGACATCTTCATTATCATTCCTGCTAACCTAATGGGCACATCTATTGCCTGGTAATTCATGTATAAAAAATTCAGATAAATAATGATCGTATGAAAAAATTTTGAAGTACAATTTAAATAAGTTTTACCGTATATAATTGAAAACTTACAAGTTTCATTCTTATCCAGAAGGATAGTATTGGAATTCATGGATATTATTTATTTTGATGGTATTAGAATAATCTATTCAGAATTTAGGAATTATACTGTGGATTCCAAAATACAGTATGCTTGATTTTCATCAAGAAAGAATATACTTTTTTCTATAAATCCACTCCTGTGTGGTTAAATCTGTTTCATTATTTTACCCTATCTGTTCATTGCTCTCATCTAAAATTTCAATAAATTGGATGCAGGAAGATGTTTTAATATATTTGGAGGACAAATATATCTACTTACAATTCATTCATTGAGAGAAAGAGAAGAATAAGTGGTGGTTTGTTATTTTGTAGTCAGTGTTCTTTAATCCTTGAGGTCCTGAGCTTCTTGACTTTTGCCAATGACATTTCATGAGAACAAGAGACCTCCCAGATGACTGACTCACAGTTTTTCAGCAAACATTCTAATCTCCAACTCCATGTCAGCTCTTGTTCGCTGAAGAGACAATGGTGATTAGGTCCCAAATCTTCAAGAGTGAGCAGGCACAAGAGTCCTGGTGAGAGAGACAGGGGAGAAGCAGTTGTTCTGTGACATCTGTTAAAGAGTAAATGCACAGTGTCACAGGAGCATGGAGGTGGAGTGGCTGCCTAGTGATACCTGAGAAGGCTACACCAGTTGCTGAGCACTTGGAATTAAGTCAGAAAAACTTTGCCTCGTGGGCAAATCAGAGACACCCAGTCAGGGCAGAGTTGCTACATGGTAGAGACGCACATTGCTTTCTGAGTGTGTAAGGCTTGTTTGAGCAATTCCTACAACAATCAATGTGCCAAAGTATTTTAAGCATTGTAGGGTGGGGTAGCAGGAAACGAGGAAGTAAAAATAGGCTGTAATAGATTTACCACTTTAATTTTAATTCTCTGTTCTGATTTTCCTAACCACTTATGGGTCATGTACATTGTAAGAATCATATGAACAAATACATGAATGTATACATCATCTCTCTATAAAGTATATTCATATTATTTTTATATAATTTCACTCCACATAAAACATCTACAGATCGATGGATCTCAGCATAATAATTATTGTACTGGACCAGGGGTCAGCAGACCAATGTATACTGTCCTATTATTTAAGGAAGCCTAATATTTAAGGAAGTGTTTGCCAGCACTCGCTGCAGGCAATCTTGGAGGTTCTCAGAGATCCTTAATGTCATTTTCAAGTGACTGGAGAGCTTGCTTTTATAGTGGGGGGAAAATAGGGAACATAATGATTTTTATTTAACAAATTAAATTAATTATTAACATAGTTGCATTAAAACAGAAAATAGCCCTGAAATATATGATTCCCTGGAATAAGAATGGGATAGTTAAGACTCTTGAAGTAATAAATTCAACAGTCAGTTCCAAAACTGGAGTGATAAGAGACTCAGGTGATCTGTAGAAGAAGAAATGCTAAATAAAATATATAAAAATATTATATTTCTTATTTGTTTTAGCTGAGGTTATTTCAAATATACTTATCCAACACTATTATAGTTTAAAAGATCATTCTCATTTTGCAGATGAGAAAACAAAGTTACAAGGTCTTGACTGAACTCCCATACCCTAATAACTAGCATAAGCAGTTAAATTATAGGGTTCATATCATTAAAAAAAATCCTACCAGTTTTGGGCTGGAAAGATAGTACAGGGTTAGGCACTTACCTGGTATATGACCAGGTCTGGTTTGCTCCCTGCACTATAAGCCCTTAGAACTGCCAAATGTGACCTACACGTATGCACCAATAAGAAAAAACTCCCAATATTAATTCCAGTTTTTATACAATAGTAATTTCTCTATATGGAAGAACTTTTGATACTGACAATTCTAATACTATGAACTTTTAAATGTATATTTTTTAATATTTATGTTTACATAAAAATTTCTTTTTTTTCTAGATCATGCAGATTTTCTGACTTCACCTTATACACACCAGGTTTTTGTTCTTTGGATTTTATTTTTTTATTTCTTTTGGTCATATCATCTTAGCTCTTTCGTTTCATCTTTTTTGCTGATAATTTTACCATGGGCGTGCCCATCATGTATTTTTGTAAAATCATTGCTCACAGTGGCTCCTGTCTCATTTATATGGCTCTGCACAGTGCTAAGCAGATAGTGGGCATTCAGCAAATACATGATGGTGAATTAAATGTCTTAAAAGGGCTTTTCTAATTTTCTTAATTCTTTAATTCTATCAGCACTCTAAGTATGTTGTCTTGATGCTGCTTATTTAGGACTTTGTAAGAGTCCTAATTATTCTTTTCTTTCTCTTGAACACTAGGTGGTTGTGAATGCACTCATAGGTGCAATTCCTTCCATCATGAATGTGCTGCTTGTGTGTCTTATATTCTGGCTAATATTTAGCATCATGGGAGTGAATTTGTTTGCTGGAAAGTTCTATGAGTGCGTGAACACCACAGATGGGTCACGGTTCTCTACAGAGCAAGTTCAAAATCGTTCTGACTGTTTTGCGCTTATAAATGTTAGTCAAAATGTTCGATGGAAAAACTTAAAAGTGAACTTCGATAATGTTGGACTGGGCTACCTGTCTCTGCTACAAGTTGTAAGTGACCCCTTTTATGAAGGCCTGAGATTGTAATGGATATATTGTATGGAGAATGCAGAAATATGTGGTAGAGGACATTGTATAAGGACTATGTAAAGAATGTGATAAAACACAAACCTAACATGTGTGAGACCCTGAGTTTGATTCCTGGTACTGCATCCCCTTCTCCCAGGTGTACCCCTGGATATTCCCCAGTATCACCTGGCATTGTGCAGGTGTTTTGGGTAACATGGGGTGTTACCAAAAGGACATGAAAAACAAAATTGGTGTTTCTTAGAGTGGACAGCTATCAATATGATTTAAGGAGTTTAAATTCTATGCATTTGAGTTACTCATCCATAACTACCCTTATTAGTGTCATTCCTCTCTACAAACACTCCTGCTGATCAGTTCACCTTCTGAAGCTTTCTCCATGAATGTGTAGTCATTTTCATAATGACATTTTTGTAAAACTACATAGGAATGAGAGAAACTTCTCAACAAAACCTGAAAATCCTTAATGGGGGAAATGTCATTTTATGCCTTAATTATAAAATTATCTCCCTTCTACTGAAAAAAAGTAAAAATTTATGTGCAAAATTTATAAGCACCTGTAGTAACCTGGAAATAATTTGCCAGAAGTAATTTATATAATGTGACTTGATTATGCATCCTTTTCATTCTTATAAGCATCTTCATATTCATTGGTATTTTGAATGTGATAAAACTTGATAATTTTTATATTAAATAACAATTTGAACAGTAAGCAAACTACATTTATGGTACTTTAGGATATGAGCTTTATACTCAGAATTTATAAATATTATATTTACAGGCTACATTTAAGGGATGGATGGATATTATGTATGCAGCAGTTGATTCTGTTAATGTAAGTATTGATCAAAGTACCGCAAAACTACAAATTTCTTAAACTCTTTTATACAGTTTTCTAAAAAGAGCTTCAAAAAGCCCTTGGTATATATACATACAGTAAATAGTTTCCACCTAATGACAGCCTAATTGTTATGTGTACCTCATTTAGAGGTAGAACATTACTAAAATTCTGGTTCTGTCATAGCATAGAGGATCTACAACTGTTGAGCAAATTTTCCTCTTTGAACCTTTTTATCAATAAGAAAAAAAAATTTAGTACCCATCTCATATGGTTGTTTTGCATATCCTAAAAGAATGGAAAGTGGAATTCTGTAAATATTTGCTTATTAAAATCAAAATGAAGTATTGTTTTATAGTTTTTATTATTTTTAATATTAAAGTGCCTCAGAAGAGTTTGGTTGAAATAAATTTTACAAAAAATTGTTTGAACTCTACTGGCTAGATCATATTGTCCCATAATATAATGAATACATTTGTGAGTTTTTAAATTCAAATTATTTAAAAATCAGAAAATGTATATCATATGGAATCATCTTTTACACTTTTTTACTGGAAATAAAACACATATTTTGCATTATTTAGTTACTAAGATTTTCTATCTGAGAATATCAACTACATACTCCTATGTAGTCATTTGAACATTACATTTATGTACAGAGTAATCATGTAACAGTTATTTATTTTGAATAAAATTCTAAGAAAATTATATTTAGCCTCACCTGGCATAGCACTGTTTAAATTACTTTGTAAAATTGCATGAAAAACAAATGTTAAATGTTATTATAAACATATACTTTTTTTAATTTAATAGGTAGACAAGCAGCCCATTTATGAACACAGCCTCTACATGTATCTTTATTTTGTCATCTTTATCATCTTTGGGTCATTCTTCACTTTGAACTTGTTCATTGGTGTCATCATAGATAATTTTAATCAACAGAAAAAGAAGATAAGTATTTCAACTTTTTTCACCAAATAAAGAGCAATTATTTTCCCTGAGTAGCATACAACATAATTTTATGTTAACTTATAATTAAGTTACTTAGAAAACCATTATTCCCCCAAAGGATTATCCAATATATGTTTACGGATATCTTTAATCTTATTCATCACTTCACAGAAAATAGCACTGTAGCACTGTCCTCCTGTTGTTCATCAATTTGCTCAAGTGGGCCCAGTAACATCTCACAACAAATTGTGAGATTTGTTACTGTGTTTGGCATATTGAATACATCATGGGAAGCTTGCCAGGCTTTGCCATGCGGGCGAGATACTCTCGGTAGCTTGCCAGGCTCTCCGAGAGGAGTGGAGGAATCAAACCCAGGTCGGCCTTGTTGGCCGCGTGCGAGGCAAATGCCTTACCCGCTGCTTTAAGCACTAAATACTTAATGCTATTGCTCCAGCCCCACAGAAAATAATTATCTTCTAAATTATAACTGTTAAACACTGTAAAACTGTTTGCTTTTACCAATGTTCTCTATAGAATTTGAATGAGAAAATCAGTTCCTTATTTGTCTTAAACACAATCCATGTATAGTTACCATATTCTGTTCTGAACTACCATCTTATGGTACATATCGGGCAGGCTCTCAAGAACAGTGTAACATAAGATTCTGAGATCAGGAGTTAATGTTATATCAGAAATAAATGATATAGATATTGAAAGTTAAGATTTGTTGTTGTATGTCAGCACTACCCTGATGTTTCTGGATAATTAATCTTTAAATCAACTTTATTTCTGAGAACTGCCATAAACAAATTCCATGAACTGAGTTGCTTTGAACAAGAAAAATTTATTCTGTTACAGTTCTGAAGGCAGGAAGCATGACAGTTGCACCCTGTTCTCTAGGAGGTTCCTTTCTTTCTTCTTCCAACTTTTTATAATTCAAGCATTACTTTGCCTGTAGTAGCAGGATTTCAGTCTCTGCACCTGTCACATGGTATTCTTGTGCCATCTTTTGTCTTATAAATGATTGAAAGAACAGAAATTAAGTGATTTACCCAAGATCACACATCTAGTAAATGATTAAGAGTTTTGATAGTAGTGGATCCAGTGCATCCTGTAGAGATTAGGTTTTTGACTATTTTATACCCTCAAATACTATACTATATGTTTGTAATAAAAACAATAACCAAAAAAATCATAAAATAATAAAATATAATTCAGAGGGAAAATAGATATGATTACAAGGAAGTTTTATGGCATTAAGTGACAATTGAAGAGGATTTGTACATGAATAACTTGTAGTAACAGATAAATGTATGAATAACTCACATAAAAGGGAAGAGAATCCTGTGAGTATGTGCATTGGGATGATAAGAGAAGCAATAATGCAGGAGGAATAGCCATTGATCGATCCATCCATACATCCAGTTAGAGTTTGAGAAAAGAAAACATCAAAGATGTATGTATCTCTTTAAATTAAGAGTTTTGTTTTCTTTGAGTAAATACCGAGAGTGGGATAACTGGATTATGTTTAATTCTATAGTTAGTTCCCCAGAAATATCTGTACTACTTTCCATAATGTCTTCACCATTTATATTTCCTCTTCCAGTGTTAAAATGTTCTCCTTTTGTTACATTCCCTTCAGTTTGTTGTGTTTTAGTAGATAGCCATTCTCAAAGTTGTGATGCAGTATCTTATTGTCAGTATGTGGACCATCTATACTAGCATTATAAGGCATGTACTCCAGCCCAATAAACTATCTCTCAGGTTCTGTGCTTTTAACATTTTTTGTAAGCAAAATCCAGTAGTGAGCACCTTTAGGTTTCATTTCTCTGGGAGATATTTTATGATTTTTGCAGACTAAAGTATTTTGACTACTTTTATCTTTAAGAATGTTGAACAGGTCATTCCATTTTCTCCCCAACACTCTCTTTAGAGAGGGAGTATCATTGTAAATTACCTGCTTTCCTCCCTTAGCTCCCTTTAGTAATGTCTTGATAGTTTCACTCATACATGCCTTGTGTGTGGGTGTGTGTTTGTATTTAGATATTCCTGTTAATGGTATTGCACACTGAGTTCCTTTCCCAGGGTTGGGGAGTTGTGTATCAGTCTTTGACTCGTTTACCTCTATTCACCTTCTAAGACAGTCATGATAGTCATGTTGCTTTTACTAGAGGAGCATAATTCTAGTAGCATTTGTTTTTCAGTAGGCTTGGCACCCAACAGCCCTGGGAATAGGGACCATTGGCAGAGATTCTCATCCCAATAGTTGGGCCCAGAAGTGTAATTTGAGGTTCAGGCAGGACCTGGGGTTGGGGCTGGGATGAGCTGTACAACCTCTGGGAATGCTGCAGAGAGAGTGTGGGAATCACTTTTAGATCCTCACACATACTGGCTATATATGCCTACTATTGGGCTATATATATATACACATATATATATAAAGTCTCTTTAAATTTATTATGTGCCTCATCTTCCAACTAGATTTCTTACCCAAAACTCGCTCATTTTTCCTCTATTTAATCTTTTTGTTTCCATAGATTTTGTAGAACTGTTGAATTTATTTTTTGAGTTTTTCATATTGTAAATTAGTTTCTAATTTAATCATTTGCATTAAATTTGTCTCTAAGCTCACTGAGTTGCTTTCCTGAGCTTTTGTATATCTGAATATCCTTATTGTAGTTTCTGAACTCTTCAGTTGTTTAAAAACATATTCTTTGATATTTTTCATTTTAGTTTATGCAATTCTGCTTTTGTGATGTCATGTTATTTGGAGGTCTCAAGTACTCCTGTGTACTCTTCTGCCTTTCTGTTTGAATCTGGATCAGAAATGTTGAAATACCTTCTTAATATTTTGATTTACCTGCAGGTGACATTATAATGGGCTGCAGTGATGGCACAGCGAGTAGGGAATTTGCCTTGCACATGGCCGACCCAGGTTCTATTCCTCTGCCCCTCTCTGAGAGCCCAGCAAGCTACCGAGAACATTCCGCCCACATGACAAAGCCTGGCAAGCTCCCCGTGGCATATTTGATATGCCAAAAACAGTAACAAGTCTCACAATGGAGACATTACTGGTGCCTGCTTGAGCAAATCGATGAATAACAGGAGGGCAGTGCTACAGTGCAGATGTTATAATAATTGTTTTGCTTCAGGATTGCCATAAGATGCTCAGGCCATGGATGGGTACTGCTTTGTTGAGAAGTAAGGGAGAGCCATGGAGCCTCCCAGTCTCTTTCATGAATGTACTGGGGAGAGACTTGATTCTTGTGGTGGTACTGAGATTAAACCTTCACTCTGAGATGTGCTAAGACTCAGTACTCTGTCATGATCATTATTTACAGTTAGCACGGATCTAGAGAGGTCAGGAAGGGGAGCTTACTTAGTGTCTCTTGCCAAGTTCTTGATCCACGTGATATACCCACCTGTTCTACTTTGGGTTTTACTTGGGCCCAGGACATGTAACTTCATACTCTTTGCTCTCCCCTCCCTAATTTCACTGATTGAGCTCTCAGCTCTGCTGTTTCAATACCTGCTACTTCCTCTTGTCTCTTTTGTCACAATAATATCGAGCTCCTCAGTGTTCTTTCCAGTGCAGTCTGCATTACTCTGATACGCCAGAAATCCTTCAGCCTCATTACCATGCTATGTATGCTGTTCACTCCTTGGAAAATTGTTCTTTGTCTCTCTTAGGAGCATTGAATAAGAGGTCCTGTGTCAGTTTCATGGTGATGTCAGTCCTTTAGTAAATATTATTTTTGCTTACATTTCCAAATATAGCTGTTTGCAGGGGTAATTTTAAGAGCCATATATCATTCTTACAGTTTAGATCTGAGATTCAAATTAGGCTAACATTTTCGTATATTTATGCTTTTACGCAGTGGATCTTGAATAATATAATTAATTTTGAAAAGAATTTATAAAATATCTTTTTTCCCATTTTTCAATAGATATCATTACATATGCATATGTGATAAGCAAGCACACATGTATAGTTTGCTGGCATTTTCTTTGTAGTATATATTGAACGTATCTAGAGAGAGCAGCATAAGTATCGACAGGAGACTCATGGTTTTGATGTTTTAATCCCTTTTGTTCTTAAATGGTATCATTACAAACAAGAATTGCCTCTGGAGGAAGAAAGTTGGGATGAGTCGATAACATTATCATTACTGTCAGGCCAAAGTTACTAATTTAGAAGCACTGACAACTATTATTATCCCCTGCTTTTTTTCAGTATTTCATTTGCAATCTAATCATTCCTTTTATTTTTACCCATTTGTGAATGGTTTAGAGTTTCCACTCTAAGAGGAGAAAAAAAAAACAGGACACTTCAATTAGGTAACTACATGCAAAATAGGAGGCTTTCTGCTTGATATAATCTATCTGAACTCAGCCACAGAACACTCAAAAGTGGTATCTTAATAGGAATGTATAAACTCAGCATTAGAGAGGATAAATATATCCTCTAATACGTTTGTAGAAAAGTCTTGGTAGATAATATATTTGTAGAAAAAATCTTAGTAGAGGTGGATTCATGAGTAAATTCTAAGTAACATCAACCCTTTTCAGTAACTCAAATCTTGTTAAGAAGGTGAGCAACTCTAATTAAAAGTAATTAGCAATTTTTGAGGATCTGCCTCGTACCTGGCATTATGCTGATTGCTTTGTATATATTATCTCAGTTGATCTCAACAAATATGAGGTGGTTACTCTTATAATGATTTATTCTATGATTTATCCTTTAAACAATTAAGAAACTTGTCCCAGGTCATGAGATAATGAACAAGAATGATCTGACACCAAACTATCTTAGGCTTGGGCTTCTTAAAATTTTTCCACTAATTTTTAATACTTCTCCCAAGAAATGTTTATGGTATAGCTTGGTATTTTAAATGGAATGACAAATCAAATATTTACTGATAACAAATTATTAAATTATCTTAGACTAACTTTTTATGACCTTGACAATATTATTTGACCCAATATGGGAATGCAATCCACATTTTACAAAATTTGAACATAGAGTGTAAATCAGAAAAAGAATAATCTGACTTACAGAATAGTTCTCATCTAGCTTTTAAAGGAATGACTTTAGTTAACTAAATTTTAATAAGCTTCAATGAAACAAAACAGCACAAAATTAACAAGGGGACAATTTTGTAACATTTTCTTAGTTTTATTTTATCATTCAATATGCTGACAACTAGAGTTGTCAACCAACAAGAAAAGTCAAAACCTATAATTCAGAATTCTTTTGCCAATGGTTTCATAACGTTTTTCTGTTAAGTTTTATGTACTATAATACACATTCCCATCAGTGAGTGATAAAGGATCTGGGCTTTTTTTTGACACTAACATGAAGGCTTGCTCCAAGGTCTAGTATCAGTAAGAAGCACTGTAGCGCTGTATGTAGCACTGTCCTCCCATTGTTCATCGATCTGCTCGAGCAGGCCCAGTAACGTCTCCATCATGAGACTTGTTGTTACTGTATTTGGCATACTAAATACATCACGGGTAGCTTGCCAGGCTTTGCCATGCGGGCGAGATACTCTCGGTAGCTTGCCAAGCCCTCCGAGAGGGGTGGAGGGGTGGAGGAATTGAACCTGACTTGGCAGGGCCGGCTGCGCACAAGGCAAATGCCCTACTGCTGTGCTATCACTCCAGCCCAGTAAGAAGATAAGATATAAATAAAATATGGTTATCATTATAGTCAATGAATATATTAAGTCAAATGGAAATAATTCAATAAACTATATCAAAATAATATAAAGAACAAATGACAAGTTTAAGAAAGCGGAATTTAAACACTCTAAAGTAAGTCTATTATAGGTTGAAAAGGGGAGAACTGTAAATAGAGGACTCTTTTTAGAGGTAGGTGTGGTAAGTATTGTATACATTGAAGTGTGAAAATAGAATCCTGAAATTTCACATTGCAAACCAAGAATATATTAATAAGGGGGGATATGGTTACCATTAGGTATTTGAGAAGTTCTTAAAATGCAGTGTCACAGGAAACCAAATATTTCCTGAGCTGGGAAAATTGAACAAAAGCACATCATCTTTTCCCTCTAGGACCCTCTGTCACTGTCACTGTCACTGTCCTCCCATTGTTCATCGATTTGCTCAAGCGGGCCCAGTAACATATCCATTATGGCACTTGTTACTGTGTTTGGCATATCAGATGTGTCACAGGTAGTTTGCCAGGCTTTGCCGTGCGGGCAAGATACTCTTGGTAGCTTGTCAGGCTCTCCAAGAGGGGCGGGGGAATCGAACCTGGGTCAGCCAGGCAACTGCGTGCAAGACAAATGCTCTACCCACTGTGCTATCGCTCCAACCCTAGGACCTTCTATCTTTAGAATTTCAGAACTTATTGCTGGGGAGATAGCATTGAGCTCACAGTGAATCTTCTGACTATTTTGAGTGTCATCAGGTGTAAACTTAGGGCCCCCTGAATACTGCAAAATATTTCAGAGCTATAAATTCCTGGCCCTCCCATTGTTCATCGATTTGCTCGAGCGGGCCCAGTAACGTCTCCATTGGAGATTTTGTTGTTACTGTGTTTGGCATATCGAATACATCACGGGTGGCCTGCCAGGCTCTGCCGTATGGGCGAGATACTCTCGGTAGCTTGCCGGGCTCTCCGAGAGGGGCAGAGGAATCAAACTGGGCTGGAGCAATAGCACAGAAGTAGGGCATTTGCCTTGCATGCAGCCAACATGGGCGACCCGAGTTCAATTCCTCCACCCCTCTCAGAGAGCCCGGCAACCTACCGAGAGTATCTCGCCCGCGTGGCAGAGCTGACAAGCTCCCCGTGACGTATTCGATATGCCAAACACAGTAACAACAAAGTCTCCAATGGAGACATTACTGGGCCTGCTCGAGCAAATCTATGATCAACGGGAGGGCCTTTACCTTTACCTTTACCTATAAATTCCTAATGACATACATTATAGTAATTTGCCATAAATGAAATGCGAGTATTACAAATATATGTACAGTATATACGTGTGAAAATTACAGACAGCTCTAAGAAATTAACAGAACCTAAAAGAACAGGTAATTCTAGAATCTTTTGCAAAAACTAGACCTTCATGGATTAAAGGATAGAAAACATTGACATATTTGTATATTTTAACCATTGAAATTTAAAGGTTGTTACTCAATGAGAGAGTCTGCCTGGTCAGAAACACAACTGTACTTCATGGTGTTTCACTAATAATAAATCTGAAAAAAAACACTGAATTATTGACGATTTTCTCAATATCTAGTACTATTATGCAACGGTGGAACCTAAAAAAATACTTGGATGCTGAAATTTTATTATTCCTTTATTAGGAATTAAATTAGTTAATGAGAAAAATAAAATAATAAATGTATTACATATATAGTGGTCATAAATCTATATAATAAAACATAAATATATGTAGATATATATTTTATATGTATGTAGTAGGAATTGCATAATAAATTGAATGCAAACATAAAACTGCTTTGCTCTTTTTCATCATAAAAGTTCTAAACATTAGTCAAAGTAATACAACAGGTCCGTACTTTCCTTACACATGACTGACCTGGGCTCAAACCCCAGCACCCAAAATGGTCCCTCAAACATCCCCAGAAGAAATTCTTGAGTTTTGGGCCAAGAGTAACCCCTGAACATCACCTGGTGTGGCCAAAAGTAATTAAAACATTTTAATATTCAAATAATAAACGATGTGACCCAAAAAACAACTAAAAAATTTTAAGATTAAAATAATAAACAGTCAAATTATGAAAGACTAATTACAAAAGAATAGTTCTTATTCTTTCTAATAGTATTTATTATGTAGCAACAAAATGCATAAGCAGTAGTTAGAATAAAATATCAGTACATAGTTTACATAGGTTTGTCTCAACAAAAAGATAACTGAGCCAATCATTATTGCATATAATTCTTATGTTATATAGGTGCATTATGTTATGAAGAATAACATACTTCATATTTGAAATGTATTTCAATTCTATAGCAGTCTTTTTCTGGTCTTGGACCACAATAGTGGTGCTCAGGGATTACTCCTAGCTCTGCACTCAGAGTTCAATATTGGTGGACTCAGAGAACCATATATGGTGCTGGGAATAGAACCTGGGTCAGCCACGTTCAATGCCCTACCCACTAAACTATCTCTCTAGCCCCTATATGAGTAGTTTTTAATCTGTCTTAAAGAAACATTTAAACAATGATTCTGGTTTTAACTAGATTTATTTTTATTTCTTTACCTTGGAGGTCAAGACATCTTTATGACAGAAGAACAAAAGAAGTATTACAATGCAATGAAAAAGCTTGGATCTAAAAAACCACAAAAACCAATACCTCGGCCAGGGGTAAAACTAATCATCTTACTAATTGTTGAAATTAATATTTGATCTATATCTATTTATTAAACATGAATGTTTTCATTTTAATTTTTTGAACAAGAGTCCTTGTGAAAATGAACATGTATATTTTGAACATATTATAATTTAAAAAATTAATGACACTGTAATCTATGAAGTTATTCATTGTTGAATTCTAGGTATTCTATATTCTAGTACCAGTCCTACCACCAGTGTACCCAGTCCTTTACCCCCAACCCCTACCCACCCCACCCCCGCCTGCTTCTCAATAAGCATATTTGTAAATTGGTTGTTTTGTTTTGAATTCCCTGCTTTCATTGTTATTGACTCTGCTGTTTGTACATACCACTTATACCACTTCTCTACATCACCAGTGTACTTGAGACCATTTATTTTCATAATTCTTAATAATCCATTAAAATTTTTCTGTAAACATAAAAATCAACCTATGCATTTTCTTTAATATTAGCTAAGTAACTTATTTCTAATACAATGAATTAGAGAATTAAAACAAAATGTATTTTGAATAAAATTTATCAAATTTTTATGATGTAGTATTTTCTCAGTAGGGTAGTATTAACATTTATTTCTTTGATATTACAATATAGCAGAAAAATAGACTGGTTATGAATCTATATCACATAGTAAAGTCAAAAACTATAGTAGTCTCACATGGAAATATTGAAACTTAGTAATCAAAAATAGTTTGTCTTCTAATAAGTAAAAAATATTTGGAGCATTTAGTGTATTTCAGTCAAATATTTAACATGATACACATTACCAAAGAATCTTAGCTAGAGACAGGTCATCCTAAAGATTACTGAATTAGTGGCAGCTGGCTTTCTGAGGTTCATTTAGCACCCAAGAATGGACCCACTTTTAGCTCTCACAAGTCCTACTGAAGTTATAAATTTGAAGGCCTGATATTTATTTTTATTTGGGAGCAGGTCCCCCAAATGGTACTTAAGAGGCCAAGGAGCTGACCCATTCCATGATCTTCTGCTAACCTAGTCATTAGTTCAGTGCTTGAGGATGCTGTGCTAGGGTATTGGGGATTACTTGGGCCACCATGGTGGCACTCAGGGGCATTCACACTTTGTTTAACTCAGGAGCCTTCAGTACAGCACCCATAGTTGCTTGAGAGACCACATGGATCCAGGAATCTAATTGGAATTGATCACATATGGAAAAGTACTGTAACCCCTATTTTATATCTCCAGCTCCAGAAATCCGGGTATTTAATTTTTGAGCACCTCTTTGATTTTGATTAACGGTGCTTTAAAACTTCTCTATGGAACAATTAGAGGAATTTGTAAAGAACTTGTATTTCCTAGAAGGTATAATATTTGCAGTGAGATTGTCAAAAAGGTGATATGTCAATATGGATATGTGTAGAAGTATATACTTTATTCATGGAAAATATAGTATAACATTAATATCAATTTAAAACATTGCAAGGTACTACACTAACTGAACTATAATAAAGTAGAAATTTATAACATGACATTTCCTTATTTTTAAATGCCCTCAGGAAGTATAGCTGAAGTTTTCTTAGTAAAAATTGCCTTGTGATCATGACAATTTACATAGGTGATATTTGTATAAATATATATATTCAGAGTGGATATGTTTAAAATGAAACATTATACAAATATAACTGAAGACTAACTACATACTGAAATAATTTCACCAAAAAATTTAGTTTGGCTTATATTTATTTATTTAATATTTATATATTTAACCCATCCTTATTTTTTACATTTTTGTTTTATATTTTATAGGAAAATATGACCATGACCATATAAATTTAATCTCTATTTCATATTTTTTCTTACAGAACAAAGTCCAAGGATGTATATTTGATCTAGTAACAAACCAAGTTTTTGATATCACCATAATGGTTCTTATTTGCCTCAACATGGTAACCATGATGGTAGAAAAAGAAGGACAAAGTGAAGAAATGACTAATGTTTTATATTGGATAAATTTAGTTTTTATTATTCTTTTCACTGGTGAATTTGTGCTGAAGTTGATCTCCCTCAGACACTACTACTTCACTATAGGATGGAACATTTTTGATTTTGTGGTTGTGATTCTCTCCATTGTAGGTAAGATCATTTTATTAAAAAGATTTTAATTTTGAAGGATTTTTTAATTAACTAATTTTATGTGAGGGGGCAGTACTCTGGCACCACTTTTGGTCACTCCTCTCTGTTCTCAGTGTACCATGTGCAGTACTGGGTATCTACCTGGGCTCAGTCACCTGCAGTATTGGGGCTAGAGCAACAGTACAGTGGGTAGAGCATTTGGCTTGCAAGTGGCTGACGTGAGTTCAACCTTCAGCATCCCATATGATCCCTCAAGCATTGCCTGGAGTAATTCCTGACTGCAGAGCCAGGAGTAACCCCTGAGCATCGCCAGGTGTGATCCAAAAATAAAATAAAATAAAATAAAATAAGACAGATACCTTATCCTCTGTACTAATAATAATAATAAAAATATTTTTTTTATTTCTCCAGTCTCCCAAATTTTATTTTATTTTATTTTATTTCTTTTTTGGGTCACACCCAGCAATGCTCAGGGGTTGCTTCAGGCTCGGCACTCAGGAACTACCCCTGGCGGTCCTCAGGGGAACATATGGAATGCTGAAAATCAAACCCGGGTTGGCAGCATGCAAGGCAAACACCTTACCCACTGTGCTATTGCTCCAGCCCCTTCCCAGATTTTAATTTTGAATCAATCTAAACTCCACGTGCGCTGATGAGACTGTCATAAATTCATGCAAATTACTTTTGATTAAGTTAGTAATATGAAAGAATAAAGGGATCTCAAAATCAAATAAAACAAAAACTCTCTATTAGGATTCCTGTTTGTGCAATGAATGCTCCAAAATCAAGTGTTCTTCTCTGATGGAAACGTATCACACTCCTTGATATTGTATATCTAAATATACTCTTCACAAAGGTAGCAACTGTGTCTGTGAATGCATTTGGGTCTTAGAAAACCAATTTAGAATCTGAAATAGCTTCCAGGTTTACCGGACATGCAAACTCGCCTCTGATTAATATTACTAATAGCAAAAATATTGGTGACTTTTTGAAAATTCTCCTGAAGTTAAGATGCAAAAAAATAAAAAACTGCCTACATAATTTTTGGGGCTAGAGTGATAGCACAGTGGGTAGGGATTTGCCTTGCACACGGCGGACCCGCGTTCGATTCCTCTGCCCCTCTCAGAGAGCCTGGCAAACTACCGAGTGTATTCCGCCCACATGGCAAAACCTGGAAGGCTACCCATGATGTATTTGATATGACAAAAACAGTAGCAACAAGTCTCACAATGGAGACGGTACTGGGCCCGCTCGAGCAAATCAGTGAACAATGGGAGGACAGTGCTACAGACAGTGCTACATAATTTGTTATGACTCATAGGATCATGTATCCAAAAATGAAATTATTTCTCAATCTACCCAGTCACATCTGTGAATACTAATAATGATTTTATACTTCTACATTACTTCAATTGCTTCTCTTCTTCTTTTTACAAATCATATGTGCATCTTTTACCCAGTATTTGAGGATTGCATTTATTTGTTGAACTCTAATGTTAGATGGGAAGGGATAGAATTATGAAGACTACTTAATACAAATTCCATTTTATGATGATGCAGACACTCCACAAAGGTTTAAGTTTATGTAACCTAGAACTATATAATCAAGTTCTATATAATTTAAAATGACATTTCAAAATCTTTCAGTCAAAAGTAATATAATTAGCGGTGATGTGAGAGTCAAGATATAAAAAAATAAATTAGGGCCAGAATGATAGTACAAAGGAGAGGTTGCTTGCCTAGCATGCTAAGATCCAGGTTCAATCCTGACATGTCCTCCCTTTTAGTTCCCCTGATCCCTGCCAGGACAGATACTAGAGCACAGACCCAGGAGTAAGCCCTGAGACCTCTGGGTATAGCCAAATATGTACATATATATGAAAAGAAAATGACTTAAAATTTACATAGGAGTTCTACAATAATAACAAATATAATAGTGGAATTACTTCCCTTAAATTAGGAAAGAAAAAAAGAAAAAAATGTCCCTATATCATCTAAGTTTTTAACAATTTTAAGCAATACAAGTCAGTAAAAGAGATATCTATTTAAATAAGAATAAAAATTGTATTCATTTGCAGATTTTGGCAGGGAAGTCATTAAAAATGAAACTTGAACCTGCTGAGAAATTAGAGTGTAGAGGTTACTGTCACTGTCACTGTCCTCCCATTGTTCATCGATTTGCTCGAGCGGGCCGAGTAACGTCTCCACTGTGACCCTTGTTACTGTTTTTGGCATATCAAATATGTCAAGGGTAGCTTTCCAGGCTTTGCCGTGAGGGCGAGATACTCTCGGTAGCTTGCCGGCCTCTCCAAGAGGGGCAGAGGAATCGAACCTGCCGTGTGCAAAACAAACGCCCTACACGCTGTACTATCTCTCCAGCCCAGAGTGTAGAGGTACATATCTGAAATTACAGGTAGCACTATTGATAATTATTTTTATGTGTATGAATTAAAAAGTACTTAAAAAATCTTTTTTTACAATAAATATTTAAAACTTCTTTGAGAAAACTTGGACATAGGAGAGACTTAAATAAAGAAATTATAGTCCTGTACACTTCTCATGGGCTGGAGCGATAGCACAGTGGTAGGGCATTTGCCTTGTGCGCAGCCGGCCGGCCAAGCCCGGTTCGATTTCTCCACAACTCTCGCAGAGCCCAGCAAGCTACCGAGAGTATCTCGCCCGCATGGCAAAGCCTCGCAAGCTACCTGTGACGTATTCAATATGCCACACACAGTAACAACAAGTCTCACAATGGATACATTACTGGGCCCGCTCGAGCAAATCGATGAACAACGGGAGGACAGTGACAGTGACACTTCTCATAAGGCCAGGGCTAATTTTTATAAGAGAATATGTAAGTTCAGTGTTAACCCAAGAAAAATATTTATGCATTTAGTGTGATAGAAGTAATAGCCAATCTAAATCTAAATTATTATAAACTTATTTTAAAAAAAAACTAGAGGGATGATTTACATTGCTTAAGATAATTAATTATAACTTTAAAGTAAAGTAGAGTTTAGAAAAATGTTTACTAGATTCAGAATCTCAAGTTAAACCTCAGTTTATGAAGAATAATAATTTGCTGTATAAGAAATTCCCATGAATCAAAGATTAAAGTAGAAAAGTAGATTATTATAGAAGTACATTATAACCATGAACTTGAATAATTCTTCTAGTCATGATACTCTCTGTAATAATAAAAGATAGTTATGACTGACTTAATTAAAAGTAAAAATATTGTATTGGCAAAAACTCATTAACTCAAAAAAAACCCATGAAAGATATTTAAACCATAAAAACCTTTCATGTAACATTTGAGACAAAGAAGTATCTCCTTCAGAAAAATACTACTCCTAAATCAATAAAGAAATCAAAAGTTCCCAATAGAAAAATTGCTGAGGGACCTCACTGAGTCAAAAACAGAAAGTTGGAAATAGCCAACAAATATACAAAGTGTGCACTCAATAAGAAAAAAATGGTAGCACTGTAGCACTTATTTTGAACATGTAGAGTGTGAATATTTTTAGTTCTACCACTTTACATAAAGTTTCTGGATCAAGATTTGGCAATATATAACAAAAATTTAAATTTTTTGTTTGTTTGACCAAACTTCCAATTCTTTTGTCAAGATCCTCGTGGATAGGGACTAGGGGCCGAAGACATCTAGTAGGATATTCATCTCAGCCAAAACCTTCATAAAAAAAATTCTTCAATATATGGTTATTTTAACAGAATATTCTACTAATATGAAAACTTCTTTTGTTGTAATTTGGACAGTAATACCTCTTTGACATATGATTACATAACTAAAACTGATGTCAAAATTCTTTGATACATAATTATATCTTTGAATATATTTACACTAAAAATATGTGGAATAATAGTCAATAAAACATTAACAATAATTGTGGTTGCTGATATTTGAGGTGAAATAAATTTCCTTTTGTGTTGGATTTTCTACATAAAGTTAATATTTTTGTAATTTAAGAAATTATTGTGGAGGGGAAAAAAACATAGTGAGGAAGTAAAAAAATTGTAAGACCATTGTAAAAAACTTTGTAAGAAGGGATGGGTTGATTTGGTAGGGCTGTTGCTTTGCACGGGGCTGTCTCAGTTGGATCTCTAGATCACGTATGGGCACAGCCTACTGGGAGTCATGCCAAGAGTAAACCCTGAGCACTACCGGGTGTGACCCCAAAACAAAATACAAAAAGTCTTGTAACGCAGGAGAAATTTCACAGTGATAATTCTAATTGATTTTCTTTGAAATTTCTTGGTTCTTTATTATGAAATTGCTTTAGATCTAAAATGACAGCCTAAAAATACAAAAGATGGGAAATAAAATTAGAACCACAATTTCCTGTAGGATGCTATTTATATACTTCCATTTGTTCCTTCCTTCCTCACTAGGTATGTTTCTAGCTGACATAATAGAGAAGTACTTTGTATCTCCTACCCTATTCCGAGTCATCCGTCTGGCCAGGATTGGTCGAATCTTGCGTCTCATCAAAGGGGCCAAGGGGATCCGCACTCTGCTCTTTGCTCTGATGATGTCCCTCCCTGCCTTGTTTAACATCGGCCTCCTGCTCTTTCTGGTCATGTTCATCTACGCCATCTTTGGAATGTCCAACTTTGCCTACGTTAAAAAGGAAGCTGGAATTAATGACATGTTCAACTTTGAAACCTTTGGCAACAGCATGATTTGCCTGTTTCAGATTACCACCTCGGCTGGCTGGGATGGATTGTTAGCCCCTATTCTCAACAGTGGGCCACCGGATTGTGATCCCAAAAAGTATCATCCAGGAAGTTCAGTTGAAGGAGACTGTGGGAACCCATCTGTTGGTATATTCTATTTTGTCAGTTATATCATCATATCATTTCTGGTTGTAGTGAACATGTACATTGCTGTTATCCTGGAGAACTTCGGTGTTGCTACTGAAGAAAGTACTGAACCCCTGAGTGAAGATGACTTTGAGATGTTCTATGAGGTTTGGGAGAAGTTTGATCCGGATGCCACCCAGTTTATTGAATATAGCAAACTCTCTGATTTTGCAGCTGCCCTGGATCCTCCTCTTCTCATAGAAAAGCCAAACAAAGTCCAGCTCATTGCCATGGATCTACCCATGGTCAGTGGAGATAGAATCCATTGTCTTGACATTTTATTTGCTTTTACAAAGCGTGTTTTGGGTGAAGGTGGAGAAATGGATTCTATGCGTGCACAGATGGAGGAAAGGTTCATGTCTGCAAATCCTTCCAAAGTGTCCTATGAACCCATCACAACGACACTAAAACGAAAGCAAGAGGACGTGTCTGCCACTGTCATTCAACGAGCTTATAGACGTTACCGCTTACGAAAAAATGTTAAAAATATATCAAGTATATACATAAAAGATGTAGAAAGAGATGATGATTTGCCCAATAAAGAAGATATAGTTTTTGATAATGTTAATGAGAATTCAAGTCCAGAAAAAACAGATGCTACCCCATCTACCACCTCTCCACCTTCATACGATAGTGTAACAAAGCCAGACAAAGAGAAATATGAAACAGACAAGACAGAAAAAGAAGACAAAGATAAAGATGGCAAGGAAAGCGAAAAATAGAGCTTAAATTTTGATAAATTGTTTACAGCCTGAGAAGGTGATATATTTGTGTTAACCAGACTCTTTTAAGGAGGTCTATGCCAAAACTCTTTCTATCAAAATATTTTCAAAACAAGTGCAGTCATGTACTTTCATTTCCTGAGATAAGTGGGCAGCATTTACAGATGGCTATTTTTGCATTGGTAAATAATCCTGTAGGAATTTTACTATTAGTACTAATGAGGTTATTAATTACAGTAAACAAAAGTGATTTTATTTGCTTTAAATAAATCAGAGAACCATCAAGAAAATGTTCACATAAGCATTGTCATCTTTTACCAGGATTATAACTATTCATCTTTCCCATGTAAACACATATGAATACATCTAAAATATATATAAGTATATGGAAGCATTTTGCCTTGAATTTACAGTTAAATGCCTTAAGAAAAGATTGAATGTTAATAATGAATGTTTAGTTAAATCATACCTTTAATAAGGAACAAGACCCTTATTTAGGTATAGAAATCATTCTGTATTTTGAGGTGCTTAAGTTTCTTCTACAATGCATCAGAATCAGTTTATACATGACTATAAGATACCACTGAAAACATATATAGGCTGTTTGTTTGAACAAGTACTTTTCATTCATCTTGACTCATGTACTAACCAGGATAAAAACTTACCTTTAGAGTATTGTGCTGTATAGTCTTTTATTTTAAATGCTTTTTGTACACACAAATATGAAAAATTATTCAAAGTACATTTCACATTTCTCAAAGAAAATTGTGATAATTAAAAACAGAAGCAACTAAAGAAAGCATTAATATCTATACAATCCCACACTGAAATGTGCCGCCCAAAGTATACCAGGAATGACCAATTCTTAATCTCTGTGTCACATTCTTCTGCTTTCTCATGCAGTATTGTTTAGTCATTCTTTAGAACTAAGCAAAGTTGAAGATTCCCTGTGATGAAGCACTTCCTGATATACTGAGAGCTTTTTGATATTATGTTAGATATTTGAACAGTTAAACACTTGGGCACAGTATTTACTGCATCATCTGTATACCATCCTAAATGTGTATTGTAAACTTTCACTTCATAATTTTTGGCACATATTTTTTTTAAAAAGACCTGTGTTGAGCATAAATGAAAGCGCATTCAACTGGCATTCTTGCCAACTGCTTTCTGACAACTAACTTCCATTGCTAATTTGTACAAGTAATTTGTTTGGACTTGTATTTGTTAATTTATAAAAAGAGGAGGATGTATCTATCTCCTTAAAATTATAACATCATTCAATAAAGAATTCCGAGTTAATGATTTACCAAACACGTTACATGTTTTTCTTTAGCTACTCACCTTCAACCAATGATTCTAAATCTAATCTTAAAATATATTTATTATAATAGCTTGATATGGCTATGATGCCCCAGAATGTGGCTCAGTGGTAAAGCATCAGTCTTGCATGTGTAATTTCCTGGGTTCAATCCCTGTTACTGCAGAAATTTATAAACAAATTACTTTTTAAAAAAGAGAAATGGCCATGATGCATTTTTATTATTTTAATCCAGAAATATAAGGTATTCTATCAAGTTATTCTTGTGAAATAATTGAGTTATAAAGTAGAAATTGTTTTATTTAGATATTGAGTGCATTTTCAAAATTACAGTGTACAAGCAACATATTTCATTCTCTTGATTAAAATTTTTAAAAATTATATGTTGATATGTTTTTTGTATCTAATTGAAATATGTTTTTTTTGGGGGGGTGGCTTTTTGGGGCACACCCAGCGATGCACATGGGTTTCTCCTGGCTTTGTACTCAGGAATTACTCCTGGCGGTGGTCAAGGAACCATATGGGATGCTGGGAATCGAACCTGGGTCTGCCATGTGCAAGGCAAACGCCCTATCACTCCAGTCCCTGAAATATGTTTTTAACTAGTTAAAAATGAAGGAGATTTACACATCCTATAGAGATGAAGAGTTACAAATAGAGAATAAAAGTCTAAAAGGGGGTGGGGGCTAGAGAGAGTAAAGCGGCTAGAAAGCTTGCCTTGCCCTTGGCTGACCTGGGTTCAATCTCAGACACTCCATTACCATTTCCCCCTCCCACAGTACCTGCAGGTGTTTCCCAGAGCACAGAGCTAGGAGTAAGCCCTGAGCACCAGGGGGTGTGACTCCAAAACAAACAAGTCTGAAAGAGGGAGAGATTTAAAAATCAGATAAAAAGACAAAAACAATTACACTTCCGCAGACTTTTTTTAGAATGTTTAAAAATTGTGATGCATTTGACATCTCCCATGAGGGAGAAAAATCACTTTTAAACTTTTGTTTTAAGGTTCATATAAAATTAAATCTAGAGCCAAAGATCTTCATATCTATGTTTAATTATCTTGGATTATTTGAGTCACTTATTTTAATATGAAAGATACCATGCAGTGTTTTCCTAGAATATGTAGAGCATTTTATCACATACCTGCTAAGCCTGTTGAAAATAGGTTTCACAATTTAACTGGGAAACATATAAAATAATATTACATTCTAAGGGCTTTTAAGCATCAAGTTAAATTTCTATCTTAAATGTGAATTCAGTTTGTTCTCATAATTTTAAGCCCAAGTTAATATAAATACATTTTTCATTCATATCATATAGTGTGAAAGAGGTACAGTGGTCAGATTTATGTGAGATTTACTACTAATGTTTTTGTATTGCTTGATTTTATGTAAAATTGAAAATATTGGCAAATGGTTCCTCAACATAATTTCTTAACATTTCAAAAAAATTCAATTTTCTCCTAATTCATGCTGAACCTATTTCATATTATAATTTTAAATATATATATAAAATGTATATATGTTTTCCTGGGAATGTCTGGTTGTTAATTTTTATCAAATTAAAACAATATTTGGATATAAAATTTTATTTAATACAGTATAGGCTAGAGGTAAAATGAGACTTCTCTTTTCATGCAGATGACTGTTTGCTAATAGTTATGTAATATCAACCTCCATAACACAGTCATACTAATATTTAAAATACATTGTCATGAATTTGTTTTACTGAATGATGTAGATTGATCGTGATACTCTAAAATTTAAATTAGAATAAAATGGAAGTAAACAAATCTGTATATGTAATTTGGATAAACGTGGAAGAATCTCATTTTATCTTTTTGACTGCTACATAGTTTGCAAAAGATTAACTGATGTGTGAGCTGTTTCTAAATGCTGATTGTTGAAAACCTCAACCAAAAATGTTCAGCATGATTTTATAGAATTTTGATAGCCCTATTTGAAAAAAGAAAAGAGAAAATTCTTATGTAAATAAAGCAATTCTAAATAGTGATTTTGGAGAAATGCTAATGGAAGTAAGAAAAGGGGGGCAGTAAATTAGAAGGGCCAAGTAATTTGCCTGGACTTAGAATCTGTCTATAGAAGCAACCAACTTTTTATATATCTGTGATTAATTATACTCTCGAAGGCAATAGTCAAGAATTGATTCATAAGCATAAATGAATAACCGTGAATATAATAATGCTGTTTACATAGAATTCTTTACAAATTTCATACATCTATGAATGCTCAAAATGTTTGAATTTGTCATAAGTTGTACTGTACTTATACTTAAAAGTTACACATTGTAATAGTCTAAAAATAAAAGTAATCAAAAATAAATCACATTTACATGTTTCCTGTTTCTTTTTAAATAACATCTGTAATTCAACAAATATGTAATGTGGTCAGTATATCTATATATTTGTAAATAAACTGCAGCAACTAATATATTTTTATATAGGAAAATGGACGGTTTCAGATGTCCTGCATAAGTAGAGAATAATATGGGACAAAGAATACCAAGTTCTAAAGAATTCATTAAAATTCACAACAAAGTTTGTGCAGGAAAATTGAAATAAGAAGAAGGGGAAATGTGGAAACGTTTAGCTACATAGGGTGTACCCTTTCTGTAATAGCATTAAGGATAGTACAGCAAACATAATAGGTAAGGGTTTGAGTTTTAATTAGGACTGTACTTTGAATACAATTAAACCATGCCTTTGACTGTCCTGAATATATTTAAATTATATGTGCCTCAGTTTTCTCATTTGTAAAATGAGGGGAAATTATACCATTTCACACTATGGCAATAAAGAATAGAGTGATGAAATTCATAGAAAGCAGATTGAATAATATCTTAAAATGCAGAATCAAGAATTTATAGCAGCAGCTGTAGTAAAAGTAGTAGCAGTAGTAATGTGTCAGCAAATTGGCCTTCAAAAATATAATAATATGAGCTATTCAGATTGCCTCTCTGTGTAATAGGAGCATAATGCATTCTTTATTAATGTTAAATGATTGTACTCCTCTATTTTTCTAATTGTATGTAAATATGATAACTTAGAGTTTAATTTATTCCATTGATATTAATGAAATCTTTGTGAAGTTACATAAATATAACTATTTCCAAATTGATTTTTTATTTGTAAATTCAAACAACATACTGAAATAAATAAAAGTGCAATTTTAAAAGGTTTATTTTTTTAAATTGGAGATTTATGTAAGCATGAACATATATTTGGTTAATTAATCAATTCAGTTGTCTTTTAGTTTAGCACCCAATCCTGCATTTAGTTTGTTAATAAAATACACTAAAGTAATTTCTGCTATGCTAGCACATTATTTCAACCTGTATGCTGTTATACTGATATGTAAGAAGATTTAAGGTATTCTAGGAATTGCTGTTCTAGCAGTTGTTTTGTGTTCTGCAAGATAGAATTTTAGTCACTTAAACTTAACAAACTCCACCCAGATCCTCCAAATTCCAGTAGGTGGGGGTCACACCCACCAACTGGCCCCCTGGCGCCGTGTAATCCCATCAACGGCCAAGACTCAGAGACTATAAAAACCAGCTCCCGGAAGCGCGTGATTTGCGGCCACGTGACATTTTATTATCACATCTTATTATCTCATTCCTACTTTGGACAAACTGGCAGGCTACCGAATGTAGCCTGCCCACACGGCAGAATCTGGCAAACTCCCTGTGGCGTACCCAATATGCCAAATACCAGTAACAATGATGGGTCTCATTCTCCTAAAGAGCCTTGAATATAATCTCAGGGCTAGGATGAAGGAGACGTTACTGGGGCCTGCTCGAGGCAATCAATGAATAACAGGATGGTCGTGATTCGAAACTTAACATTATCAATATAACAGATTGACCATCACATGAATTTCTATTGCAGAGTTCAATTATTAAATATAAGTAATAGTATACCATAATCCAAGTAAGTTGAGTTGCAGAGTACGAGGTTATTTTTTTTTCCTTTTTTTTGGGGGGGGGGTCACACCTGGCAATGCACAGGGGTTACTCCTTGCTCTACACTCAGGAGTTACTCCTGGCACTGCTCAGGGGACCATATGGGATGCTGGGAATTGAACTCAGGTTGGCCACGTGCAAGGCAAACGCCCTACCCGCTGTGCTATCTCTCCAGCTCCACGAGGTTATTTTGAGGGAAGGAAAAACCAAATACTAGTGAAAAGGGGACTTTTCAAGCAACAATGGCAAGTATAGACAGGAAAAAAATATGAATAATTGATCACTATAAAAAAGCAACAGAGAATACAAACTGCATTTAAGTTCAATTCCCTATCATACTACAGAGCATAATTAGAAATCTATACTAAAAATTTATCTAAGAAAAAAATCCAAGTTTAGAGATTTATGAAATATGTGCAATTTATGTACTTAGCTTATTGTATTTCAACACTTTTTGTTTGCTTTTGAGCCACATCCAACTGTGCCCAGGATTTTCTCCTGGCTCTGCACTCACGGCTCACTTTTGGGCAGGATGGAGACCATATGGGAGATGGAGATTGAACCTAAATTGACCGCATACAAGGTAAGCACCCTACCTGCTATTCTTCTAGTCCATGGATTTCCACATTTTTTGTAACAGTAGAATGGCTTCCAGTTGGCAGACAAGCAGCTGAAAACCAGTGCTGTGGCTTGAGGTTTATTTGATAAACATTTTTGATTTTAAAAAAGATGCAACAAAGTATTCCATAAAACAATGGACAATGAGTATATGGAAAACATTCAAAGTTTGTTAAACATCTTGAAAATATAGGTGAATGACAAAACATTATTCCTGTGCCAGATGTAATATTTACTGACCAATCCTGTTTGGCCTTTATTTCTTGCAAGACAAAATGTCTTCTATTTACTTAACTTTTACCAAATGATGAATGTTTTAGAATCTCTTTTCCAACAAATTAGAATAATGAAGACAAAGATAAAAACTATCTCACTGGGGACATTGATACTGGAAAATTACCCTGGTGAAGGGATGGGTGTTGTGACATTGTATGACTCAAACACAATCATGAATTTTTTAATGTTCTATCTCACGGTGATTCAATGAAAAAAAGCAAAAAAAGCAACATGAAAGATCATATTGTAAAATGAGCAGATAGTTTCAATAGAAATACTTCCACTTAGTAAAAACTGGAATAGAAGAAACAGAATGGTATGTTTCAACTCAGAGTTCATTGAGTTTTCATAACCTTAACCAATTTTAAGTAGAACTGGTTTTAAATATATTTGACCTCTGGTAAGATTGAAATAAACAGTACTAAAGAAAATCTCTTACAGGTATTGAGGGGAGAAAACATAGTTCAAAGATAAGTTCTGAGAAAAACACTCAATAAGTTTAAATTATA